GAGAGAGAGAGAGAGAGAGAGAGAGAGAGTTCATGCCCTTGATTTAATATTTTTAGGGTGCAATTGGTGGCGACCCTCCTCCGCCGCGCGTTCATGAATCCCCTCCTCACCGCCCTGATGACAAAGATGGCCATCTTGTGTTCGAACGGGGTGAAAATCTCACTCCTCGTTGTATGCCTCTCTCTCTCTCCTCGTTGCTTTCTTTCTCTTTTTCTCTCTCCCTCTTGAATCAATATTTTGTCCATTATCTTTAGCTGAAGTGGAATTCCGATGATAATTCCCTTCTCTCTTCTTTTTCCCTTATGCTCTTCTCTATGAATCGTTCTTTCTTCGCCTTTTGTTTCGTTCTTGGTGTAATGCTAATGGGTGTTTTCTTGATTGTGGATATGGTGGGTGTATCAGACAAGATTATAAGAAAGATAGGCGAAGGTTTGGCTCCCTTCTTTTCTCATTTTAGCTTATCATTTTCCTTTGTGTGTTCAAATTTCAGTATATTGCAATTTTAAGGATTGTAATTTCTTGCTATGTTACTGAGAATGAAATGATTACCTTTCTACTGATTTAAATGGATTTTCATGTTATATTTGGAATTACATTGCTTTGTGTCATGAAACTTAGTTTGAGGCTTTTGAGTTTAGTGCATTCCAGTTTTCATGGTAATTAGGTTATATGTGAAAAATGATAAATAAAATTGCATTATCATTTGAGGCGATGCCCTGGTACACTAGATAGTTCATCCCAATAAAATTATTTTTTGGTTGAATGCGTGGGACCCATGAATTTAATCCCAAGTAAGCCATCAAGTGACACGAAATCTATTCCTCTTTAAGAAAGGGTAGTGGATGTTTGTTAGCTGCTCATCCAATGGGAAACTTTGTATATCTGTTGTAATGGGGTTCAATCTAAAAGGAACTGCATTGAGAAAGGCATCCACAATTTTATTTTATTCATGAACAATCTGGTACATACTGTTTATCCTTTAGGTTAGGATAAGTGCACTATGTCCAATTGACTCACTCAGGAGATGAATGCATCTATTACTACCTTGGACTCTCTCAAAATCAAAACATGAACAATTCAAAATTCCTCACACAACCAATTTATATCCATGCATACTGTTTATTCTTTGGATTGGGATAGTGCACCATGGCCGATTGACTGTCACTTTGGAGATGAATGCATCTATTATTACCTTGGACTCTCTCACAATCAAAACATGAACAATTCAAAATTCCTCACACACCAATTTATATCCGTTATTGCTCTCAGCTATCATGTTACTTACTTCCAGCTCCCGATAAAAATTGGATAAAGTGTCTTATCACAAATAAGGAAATGGAGAAACTGTCTATTTCCTTTTGTTCACAGTCCTGAGTTACTTGAGGGATACAAAGAGTATGTATCGTATTTTGGAGCTGATCTTGCTATGATCTATAGAGCAATCCTTCTTGTTGATTCTTTGACATCTGTAGGTCAAGAATGTCTTTAATTGAAGCCAATGCTCTGCTTGTTATTTCAGTTGCAGTGGCTTCCCTCACTGACCTCTACCTTGGGGCGTGGGCCTTCCATATCTCTCCTATCACCAAGGGAGTTGAAGTTGTATTAAAGCCTCAAACTTTTTTCTATCTCTAGTGTATCCCTAAATGGCCCCTAACACCCCATTGGTCCTTCAAATTATTCTTCGCTTCCTACTTACCCAAAAAAATAAAAAAGATGTCTCCTTGACACTCTTGCAGTAGGTGGACTCACGTACTAAACTTCTTGACTTCCCCATTACTATCTAGGAGGAAACATGCAACTCAAGCATTCCAATTTTTGGTCTTCTGTCTAATGTCATGTAGCTTTGGTGATTTAGTCCAGTCAATTTAATCAATCGTATTGATTTCTGGGAAGTAGGATATATGGAATAGTAATCTGTATGTCATTGTTTCTTGATAAGTGCATATGGACTAGCAAATCTGGTCACGAAGCTGCTTGATTCTTGATGATATGGAAGGGATTTTATATCTGATGCCCTTTATTATCTCATGTCTTAAAAAAATGTGATACATCCGAAATGTTTTTTGATAAGTGCATATGGACTAGCAAATCTGGTCAGGAAGGAGCTTGACTCTTGATGATATGGAAGGGATTTTATATCTGATACATTTTATTATCTCATGTGATACACTCGAAAAGAAAGGGTCCTTGAATATATTGTGTAATTTCTTGCAATGAGTTGCATGTCTCTTTCCACTGTGTCCATGAACTCTTGGGTTTCTTTCAAATCAACCTTTTGTTGGTAAAAACCATACTCTTTGATGAGTTAATATGGATCTACCTGAACATTATTTCTAAACTTCCTAATTGTTGTATACTCCATAATGATATGTTTTACTCAGGGTCTATCTTATATATTGACTGCTGAAGTTAGATCAACAGTAAAGGCCTGGCTGAATATTACACGTTTTTAATATCTATGCATGGATGACTTACTATAATAGTATAATGTCTATGTTTCTAAGTGAGTCATGGAAGATGTTTTTTTTATCTGTTTTTATTTTCTTCAGACATATTTGCAGTAATTGATTGTGTATCAACATGTTTACTTGCTTCCGAGCAATGCAATGAAGAAAATTTCCACCTTGATTCTATAGTTTCTCTCAGTGTTTTAAAATGGGGGATGCGGCCAAAAGCGTAGGGGGGCCAATGCGGCAATGCGGCCAAAAGCGTAGGGGGGCCAATGTGGCAATGTGGCCAAAAGAGTAGGGGGGCCAATGAGGCAATGCGGCTCTATGCGGTTCGGATGCGGGTGCATCACGATGATGCTGTCAATAAATATAAAATTTTTTTAAAAAATCTAAAAAAGTAGGTTAATGCATAGAAAAAATATGGAGGTGATATATGTGATAATAAGCATTTTAGTTTAATGATTAACTCAAAAAATATTAGCTGACGGAGATTTTGTATCCACTATCCCCTCTTAGAAACTAGAAACTTGAAACTAGCTTCATAAAACATTCAACAATCAACAACCATAAGCACAAATTCGCAACCACAAACTTTAAAGTTACAAAATAGTGATACTAGAAACCAAAAAGTCCATATCTCCATGAAGATTAAAGAGTTTTAAAGTCAAGCTCAAGAAGAGTTAATAGTTAATACAATCATCCATTCATCATAGAAGTCATCTTGAGAGACGATTTTGAAGTCAATTTTTTTACGACCTTTGAAGCCCGCGATATCTTGTCACAAATTCACCTGAACTTCCCCAAATCAACAACCAAAAGGTTCAAATCAAGATCCAAATATCAAACAATCCCCAAATCCAAGATCTCAATGAAAAACAATTTTCGCTTATTTTTTTTTTTGGCTCGATTTGATCCCAAAAAGCCACGAAAGTGGTTGTAAATGCTAATTTAGGGGGTTTAATACCCCCCAAACTATTTTCCCTAATTTTTGATGGTTAAAAAGACCATTTTGCCCATCCCCGAGGGGCACAATCTTAAATAACATCGCGGATCAGTATGCTGCTAGATGCGCTCTGAGGCTCTGATGCGGTGCATATGCGCCTGCATACCTCCAAACTGCATATACGGTCTTTTCCGATGCGGTGCCCCACCACATACCGCCTGATGTGGCCGCATTTTAAAACATTGGTAAATCTTTTTCTATATAGAATCATCGTAGTGACAATCTTAGAAGTTGGCTAACTTTTGCTATATAGAATCATTGTAGTGACAATCTTAGAAGATGGCTAACTTTTCAGCGGCAGTATTTGCCTCTATTTGAATTTGAAAGCAATTACAGTGGCTTGAATCAATTCAAAACATCTGTGATTCCATAAGCGGGGAAGAGATGTGAAAGAGATGTTTCAAGCCTCTATGTGGTAACAGAGAAAAATATCTGGTTGTTAGAGGATATGGCTTTTAGGTGCTCCTTATAGAAAGCAATTCATATCCAGTGATATTTGATGTGTTCCACTCGAGGAAAATAGTTAAGATGGGTCCAAGGAGAAGCTCTTGAAGACATCCCTGAAGAGCAACTTTACCACACTGTCAATGGTGCTAAATTGAATTCTCTTTATTAAAGAAGTGAGCGTTAAGTCCATGCTGTTGTAGTTCTCACTATTTAGTTTACTTCCTAGTGCCTGATGAGGCACCATGAAATAAAATGGAACCATGATGATGTGATTTTAATTGATCAGTCGGTGGAATATTATCAACTGACTGATGGAGATTCTGTGTTTTACATGAAAAAAATGACTTTCTCCATGAGCAAGACCCATAAACTGGGAAAGTAGAGGTCGTATGTTTTAATGAGTCAATTATGACTTGAAAAAATGAAGCGGCTGGGTGAATAGATTGGGAATCAGATGAAAACAAGGTATATTTTGGCTTCGGACAATAACCATGGGGTACTTGTATCTGATTTGTGGGCAGTGAGTCCCTTCGCATGTATGGATTCAACTTACTGGGAGGTACATTTGCGGTAAGAGACACCACTCCCGCACCTTCTCCTGGCAATTATGCTCAGAAATACACTAGAACTGCTTAGCCATTACACATGTATTAGAGGTGATGGGTTTGATGTTCCAAATTAAATTAATATGATACCATGGTTTCTGTAACCATCTTGAGGAACGATTTAGTTGTTTGCAATTTTGTCATTCTTGATGTGATTATTAGATTATAGGGTACTATAAATAGAAGTAACTGCATTTATGCTGTCTTTCTTTATTTTGCAATGCTGAGTTAAGATTGCAGTTTCAATCTGTGAAGTATCTTTATTATTCTTTTAGTTCTTGTCCAGTTGCGGATTTGCAAAAAATGGTCACTAAAATAAATTTACTGATTTTATCTTTAATGCATATTATATTACCTCAATTTTACTTGCTATATTAGGGACATTTGGCAGAGTATTGGATTGCTGGGACCGTGTAAATAAGGAGTATGTGGCAATTAAGGTCATAAGAAACATACCGAAATATCGTCATGCAGCTATGACAGAAATTGATGTTCTTTGCACACTTGCGAAGCATGACACAGCTGGTTCAAGGTTTGTTAAAATGGTTTCCCTTCCTTTATTTTTTTTCTTCTATTAATATATGCAACAATTTTTAATTTAAATTAGTTTCTTCTTTTCTTCCTTGGAAAAGAAATGAATTGTCTCTCTGGCATTTGGTGCCTATTCTCATGATACATGCAGGTGCTGTTTGCGGATGAAGGAGTGGTTTGATTATCGTCATCATGTTTGCATGGTATGTAATTAGTGCTTACTCATTCGAGTACTTCTCCTCTATATGACATCAACCATTTTCCTGTTTTTCTAATAACTTCATAGTGATATCAGGCATGCTTTCTCCTACATAGATCTCTTCCTGCATGTGGGTTCATCATGATTGTAAATTTGAAGCATATTACATTATAATGCTCAATCCATTTAAGCAGGTATTGGAGAAGCTTGGTCCCAGTCTTTATGACTTCTTGCGAAGGAATTCACATCGGCCTTTTCCCATAGATCTTATCAGAGAATTTGCTCTCCAGATTTTGAAAGCTGTTGCCTGTATGTGCAATTACTTTGGAGTTTCCTTATTTCGTTGTTTCTTAACACTGGATAAAATTATCATTAATCTACTCTTTTTCTTCCTTCACAAACTTTTTTTTTTGTCATTTTCTTTTTTGATACCATTCCATCCATTCTCAATTTTAAGGGATTCGCAATTAACCTCGTTATATATCTCTACATATTTTTCTCTTCACAGATATGCATCGGTTATCACTTACACACACAGATTTGAAGCCTGAAAATATTTTGGTAGTATCTCCTGATTATGTCAGAGTGCCATATAAGGTACGCGCTGATTGCATTATGTTAACAATATAGAAATGTTGGGTGTGCTTTTGTCTTATAAAAGGACCAGATACATTCTAATGAGCACTTAATAAAGGTCAAGGTGCGAATGACTGCTGGATGAGTTATTAATATACTGAGCCCTGGAAGTATATTATTTAATCCCTAGGATCAAACGCTTGATTGAAGACATATAGCGAACGTCCGATGGATGACTGACCTTTGCGAATGGTCAGGAATAAACATGGTTTTTAATGGCACCATTCAAGTGTACCCTAGGCGATATTTTGGGCATGGCTTAACTATGTCTGTATCCACTGTTAGCTGAAATATGCCTTAGTGTTTTGAGAGTGAGCTAAGACTCTCTAGGATTCGTGTTCGAGGCATTATAATCATCCCCTTTAAGTCTCACCCAGTGTTCACAAAATCAAACTGGAACAGTTAACCGGACATGGGCCCTTAAGCGGTTTAATCGGCTTAACTGGTAAACCGGTTGATTCAACCATTCTAATTGGGCAAAGTCCCGGGCGGTCAAAAAAGTGTTGAAAAAATAAAAAAAATCCAAAAAAAAATCTATTAAAATTTGAAAAACATATAAAAAATGATTAAAACCAAACACATTCAAATGAAGTTAAAAATTAATGAAAAAAATAGATTTTAACAAATTGATTTTTGAATTAAAGTGAGTATTAATGACAAAAACAATTTTTAATCTGTACCATAATGTAAAGAATATTAAAATGCATTACAAACCAAATTCCTTATTTTTGAGTAGTTATATACATTTTTGTGATTTTTTTTGTAAATACCGGTCGATCACCAATACCGCCTAAAATAGGAACCGGCTGGTTCCGATCTAATCGGGAGGTTATTGCCTAGTTTTTCTAACAATGGTCTCACCTCGACGGTAGTTTAAAGCTGATAAGGGATGGCATAACCCATCTCAGTATCAATAGCAGTCTAAAGCTGCCTGGGGATGATTTAACCCATCTCAGTCTCAACGATGGTTTAAAGCTGCCAAGGGATGGCTTAACCCATCTCAGTCTCAACGGCAGTCTAAAGCTGCCCATGGATGGCTTAACCCATTTCAGTCTCAACGGCAGTCTAAAGCTGACCAGGGATGGCTTAACCCATCTCAGTATCAATAACAGTCTAAAACTGCCCAGGGATGGCTTAACCCATCTCAGTATCAATAGCAGTTTAAAGCGGCCCAGGGATGACTTAACCCATCTTAGTCTCAACGACAGTCTAAAGCTGCCCAGGGATGGCTTAACCCATCTCAGTATCAATAACAATCTTAAGCTGTCTGAAGATGACTTAACCCATCATCATCATTGTTCGACAGTTAAGGCCTTAAAAGCTTTACGTGTCGCGCAACATTCAGTTACTATAAGGGGAAATTTCAGTCTCAATATAAGAAGTTCTCTCATGAGATCAGCACTGTTGAACTCTTGGCTCCCTGCTTTATCACCTTTGAAAGGTGTAGCATGGATTGAGTTGAACAACGGAAGTGGTTGAGGCCCACTGACAACAATGATGATACTAATGAATCCATGATTTTGCTCCCACGAGATCATGAGGTTCGAATGTTTGAAATTCAAAGACAAGCGCTAGCGATTGTATCTGCGTGAACAACCCAGCAGTGAGATTAACGGCGTGAAAAGATAAACATAAGAGATAAACAACATTATGAAGATAAGGACTGCGTTCTGCAAACTCTGTGATTAAAATGAATGGATAAACCCAAGATGAAGATAGAGGGTGAAGATTTCAAAGATGGGAAATGCATGGTTATCCTTTGAACAACCATAATTTAGCAGTATAAAAAGGGGACTTCTTGATTAAAGAGTTGTCGCACATTTTGATAGACATAGTTCAGTAGAGATAAGTGTTCTTGCGAGGTTCTTCCTTAGTAAGAATTAAGAGTGGAAAGAGAGTGAATATTATAGATACGAAGAGAGAGACAATCGTCTCCTATGATTCATTTGAGACCCGTTCTCTTGGGAAGACCAAGCTCCAAGGATAACACCCCTGTGTACATTCCACAGGTATATAGGCCGATATGCCCTCGACGTTATCTTTTGCCTTTTGATATGTCTGTGTATTTTCTTCTGTTAGAAATGAATGTATAGGTTTCAAGCCCAAAATCAAAGGTTTTCAGCTTATTTTCTTTTCTTCAGTCGATGTAAATTGTAAATCGAGGATTAAACCTGTGGAATTGTTCAGTGCCCAGTATAAATATAAAGCCTGTGTTTCTGATATGAAGTGCATGGGTGAATTTGGCCCTGAATGTGATGTCCTTTGGTTTTCTATTTGGAGTCCGATGTTTGTCTGAACATTCCACTTTTAAGCATCCACATTTCGGAGCGTCCAAGAAACAACTAAAAAAAGAAAATGAATGAGAAAGGGAGAGAAAGTCAGGAGAGATATAAAGATATTTAGATAGGGAAGAGTTAGAGAGATAATATGAGACAATGTGAAGAGGAGAGAAAAGACTATCACGTTAGGGTTATTATGGCATGCCCCTATCATCCTTATTTTCAATGATAAAAAATGAAAAGTACAAGAATGTCCTTCAATATGGTAGTAATGAATTACCCAAGAAAAAGGTATGGCAGTAATGAGAAGAAGGTCCTATAGGCACAAACACAAGATAAATAACAAAAGAACTACACTGAAACAATACAGTTAACGCTCTCCCTCAAGCTGGAGTGTGAATGTCACCCATGCCCAACTTGGAACAAATCACCTAAATTCGATTACGACCAAGTACTTTAGGGAATATATCGGCCACCTGATCTTTTGACTCCACATATGGAGTAGATGTATGTTTATTGGTTACTTTTTCTTGAATAAAATGACAATTCACTTCAATATGCTTCATTCTCGCATGGAACACTAGGTTGCTGCGTATATAGACAGCAACTTGATTATCAATAAAAATCTGCATCGGTTCATCAATTGTGGATCCCATCTCCTGCATCAAGGTCTTCAGCCACATTAATTTTGTGAACCATTGCTCTATATTAAGCCTTTGCATTAGACCTAGCTGCTCCATTTTGTTTCTTACTTTTCCTCCTGCCTAATCAACACTAGAATAACTAGCAATGCTAAATGGCCATTTAGTCTTTTGAAGTTCTGTCCATTAGAAATTTTCTGGAATGCTTGAAGAGAGAGTGCATATTTATAGGAGAGAGAAGATTGATGGTAGCAAAGCTCATATGAGGGTATTTGGGTCAAGAATTTGGTGAGGGTGTAGATTATTTTGGTTGTTACGAGGTAGACTGTGAAGGATAAAGAAATAGGTATGCCCTTGCTAGTTGCTACTATGATATTCAACTAGTCAGAGTCTGGAAAGTTTGGGGATCATTTAAGTATTAATTTCACTTTAAAATGAATTCAAGGATAACCTTGAAGTTAAAATGGTGTCATGCATCCAGTTGGCATGGTGGATTCTAGGAGATGGAACCGCAAGCACTAATATATGATCTCTGAGCATTTATTCCAGTCTTATAGGGGGGAATCTAGGGCCAGTTAAGTATTAATTTAACTTTAAAATGAGATCAAGGATAGTTTTGAAGTTAAAAGAGTTTCATAGATCCAGTTGGCATGGTGAATGGCAGGAGATGGAACCACCAGCACTAATATATGATCTCTAAACATTTATTCCAGTCTTATAGACGGGAATCTACGTAATCTGTTTAGATTGGGAACTAAGGTTTCCACTGTTCTACGGATGTGACAGAAATGATTTTAGATACCAATGCCATGGGAGTCTTGTTTCAGAGTATGCATAGGGAAACTGAGGTGGTTGATGTGGTAGCGACCAATGGGAATTTTAGGGGAGTTCAAGTATGTGGAACTCTATTTCCCCTTAATATTCTGCTGCTATTGACCTTTTTCTTTAGAAGAAGAGAAATTGATGATAAGAAAGTTAAATGTAGCTAACTATTCTCTTATTTCCTTCTCTTTTTTTCTATGATAATTAGTTGTCTTAGCTTGAGTCACAAATAGATCCTGAGACCTGTTTTCCCTAACTGCTTTTGAAGAACTATGCATTCCTAAGACTCTGATGAATTGAATCTTTGAAGCATTCATTGAATCTTACAAAGCATTACAACCGCATTCCCAAGTCAAGTGCCATCAAGCTTATAGATTTTGGAAGTGCCACATTTGAGGATCGGCGCCACTCCTCAGTTGTTTCTACCAGACACTACAGAGCGCCAGAAGTGATTTTGGGTATTTATTTTATGACTTTGTAATGTATATGGAAATGATCACTTGGGATATTCATCTTTCCATGCATTAAAAACTAAAAGATTCTCACTACGCTCATAAGTGTATCTCATTCTAATTGCGGGAATCAGTGTGTTATGTGCACCTTTCAGGTCTTGGATGGAGTTATCCATGTGATATGTGGAGTGTTGGCTGTGTACTAGTGGAATTGTGCACGGTATGTTCTCTGTTTGGCATTAACCTGCAACCATAACTGTTGGCATTCTTTATGCATTTTTAGGATTTGAGAAATTTGATTAATAACAAACTTCTTCAACTGGTGTTTAATTTTGCAGGGTGGTGTTCTTTTCCAGACGCATGAAAACCTGGAACATCTCGCTATGATGGAGCAAGTGTTGGGTCTAATTCCTTCTCATATAATTCAAAAAGCTTGGTATATTTCCTTCAGGATTTAAAATAGTAGGCATGTGAAAAGACAAATTTTAAAACATTATCTGCTTCTCCTTTTTCCTGGATAATTTAAATTCTCTGATTCTTATATTGGAATTAATTTGTAATTTACAGCCGGACTGCAGGGAGATACTTCAACAGTGCCAAGGGATTGAGATGGCCTGAAGGAGCTGTGTCTAGAAAAAGCATACAGGCTGTGAGACGGCTGCCTAGGCTTCCGGTAAGTTCGTCTGGTGAAAGAGGAAAGGAAAATAGGTCTTCTGGTTTACAAGGCAAATATATTTGTCTTATTGTTATGGAAAATTATGGAAATGTAAAGTGCATTGTGGTCGAAAGGATTGTGGAAGACCATATTCCATCAGTATCATGACTATCCAATGGAATGATGGATGGTGGAGAGTGGGGCCTACCATACCGTGACATTACTTGATGGTGGGTTCCACTCTCCAGAGCCATACTTTCATCAGACATTCATGATCCCGATGGACTATGGTTTTCCATGTTCTGTTGGACTAGATATTTTCCCAAATTGGAGGAGGGAATTGAAATATGATGATTGCTTCACCCTCTAGGATCTCATCGTGGATTATGTGGATCAAGACAAAGAGGAGTTCATTGACCTTCTCAGACAAATGTTTCACTACGATCCTGATCAACGTATGACTGCCAAGGAAGCTTTACTACATCCTTTTCTCAAAAGATGAACGGCCTGATGAAAATTCAGTTTTTAGGCTCTGTAGGCCTTCGTGTGCATGCTAACTCATGTCTGCAAATTGCTGGTGAGTGTTATTTGGTAAAGAGCAAATTGTTATGTGGCCAGTCTTATGTCGTTTCCCATACCACGGTTCATGTGGACCATTCGTTGTCAGGGATGGTCTGATCAAACAATACATTGGCCGGGGATCCACATGGCTTGAGTGGGCTGTCCACAAGAGTGGATGGTTGGATGTACCTGGCTTTTAGGAAGCCATATAATCCTGGTTTCTAATTACTCCTTGCTATTTAATTGATGAGACTGTGTTACTGACACCGAAGCTGCTGATTATACTAGGAGCGCACACGGTGTTCTTCTTTGTACCTTTTGTTGGTATGGAGGACATCTCTTGGAAAGGGCTAATAAGACCGAAGCCACTCAGCGATCTAAATCTCCGAGAATAGAAGTGGAAGCAAGGAAGCAGGTGGTTTGTTGATTGGTAAGAGATTCCATTTGCATTTGGCTTCTCATATACTGGGTTGTTTCTTTTCAGTCAGGCTGAAGGCACATTATCTCCTGTCAAATATGTAAATACGATCTTGCCTGAGGGTCTACCAGTCATCCAAGTTCTCATGAAGTATAGTGCTTGACCATGTGCATTTCATCCCAAAAGAGACTTGTTTTTGGACAATCTTTTTGTATTTTGGTTCTATTTTTTGCGTAATGTTGCTTTGTATTTTAGCTACTTTCTTGTTTTTATAGGTGAAGTGCTCCAAATAACTACCAAAAATTAACATGTAAATTGCCCAATATCAATGTTCCATGAGATTGAAAGACAGCTGTGGACCTGGGGTTTCTTACATGGCCCTTGAATCTAATGGTTCAGATTTTACTGCTGCATTCATGGGAGTACATGCTGTAGATGCATTCTTGTCTTACACCTTTAGTGTGCTGTTTTCCTTGTGATTATCTTTGTGGAAGGAAGTTCGAAAATCTAAATCATTTCATTTAGCAATCACAACATCGAACTTAAGAGAAGGCGCAATGTGGTGTCTCATCTGGGTATTAGTTCCAAACCACCAAGATTTGATGTCCCAAGACTTGAGATTTGTATATCTTCCGGTTTCTTGTAGAAGTCCATCAAAGTACTGTTCAATGCAGATCAAATTTTTGAGTGTCTTTTGAGGGGAAAAATCACACACCCCAGTCATCACTTGTTAGCCTCATAGAGGTGGGGTGATGCTAAAATGCTTAATAGGTTATAAAGAGATTTACTTTCTGGGTCCAGCAATTGGCTCTCGCAGATCCAGAAATGTAGGGCGGTACTCGAACTTGATTAACATCAACCATCATACTTGCATGCTTACACTAATTGATAGGGCGTGAGGTTTTATCAAAATAAGCCTCATCTTAAAACTCACAACAAACTGTAGTTTTGGCATAAAAAATATCTTCAAATCCATCATCTAGACCTTGACTGTTATGACTGTGAAAAACATGAGGTTTTTTTTTAATGTTAAAAAAGAATGATTTCAAGTTTTAAAAATAGTGTATATTATATCTGTCCATTTTCAAGTATTGACATATTCATATTCATAAGATCTGTATCATTTTTTTTAGCTATAAATTTTGTAGCAGGCTATGGAAATTGATTTTAAAACTACCATATAAAATGCTTTTTGGACTAGGTTTTAAAGTGATGCTGTACTCTATCCGAACTCACTTTGTAAATACAAAGCCAAACTCCAATCCCTCTCCCCCGAGACCCACTAAAAACCTAACTCAACTCCAATCCCTCTCCCCCGAGACCCACTAAAAACCTAACTCTTGCTCGCTCTCTACAGACACAGGCCAACCCCGTAGTTTGTCTGCAAAAGGCCAATAAACTAACTTGAAAATATGGAACGTGTATGGAAATTATTAAAGGGTGCTGTTTGTATAGAGTCGAGGCTCTAAGCAATCAAATTAAAGTCCACCTTCAAATAGTGTCGAGAAATATGGTCTCAATACTGGAAATCTTTGTGATAGTCTTAAAATACATTTCATCTTTAATTATAAATTTTAAAGCTTAAAAAATAGTGTAGATTGAGAGATCTATCAAAACTTGAAAATCTTGAAAATTGATGGTCCAAAAATGCGTTATAAGATGTACTATTTTCAAAACTTGAAATTTATTTATTTTCTCATGTTCATGCATCTTGGTGTTAAGATGATCAATTTGAAGATACTTGGGCATCAAAACGTCTTATAGTAAATTTTTTGAGATAGGCTCTAATTTGATTATTTAAAGCCTCAGCTCTATAAACCTTTTCAAATACTAAAAGGTACGTCACAAAAAGTAAATTTTTATTTTTATGAAATAATTACAATATTTACACTAAAAGACAATATAATCCTTTATAATTTTAATAAAATATTTCATAAATTTTGTAAATTATTAAAAAGGAGTGTTATGCCTATGTTTAGCGTGTGCAAATATGTGATTCTTGACTAAAAAATTTTATGGATAAAAATTAAATGACATACACAGTAATAGAGTACAAAATGCACAAGAAAAATACCTCTAGGCTTTAAAGGTTCGGGTGGCACCGGGATGTTTTGAGATCCTCTTGGACCTCCCAGTTTGTTTTAGGGAAAATATCTTCTATTCATGACTTTCATATCTCATGAGACTCAAGAATTGAAAATATTACTTGTAAGAAAAAGGTTTCCATCTTTTCTATCTTACAAACCCCTGGACCCTTTGACCATAAATTTTTAATCCAAACAAACACTAAAATGACACCTTATTCAAACTCCATCTCTCTCTCTAAAACTCCATCTCTCTTTTCGCTTCTTGGTAAGTTTACTAGCCAAGGGGTTTAGCTTGAGCTCGAACATGAGCACACCTTCTTATGTATGAGAGAGAGATGGAATTTTTAAGAGAGAGATGCAGTTTGGGTTTTAGATAGAGATGTAGTTTTAGAGAGAGAGAGATAAGAATCATTTCATAAGTTGTTGAGGTCAATAATAGATGGTCAAAAGGGTTTAGAAGGTTGGAAGGTAAAAAAGATAGAGTCTTTTTGTGTACAAATAATATTTTCAATTATTCGGTGTGATGAGATATAGAAGTTAAAAATAGAGAATAATTTTCTTTTTTATTACCGATGGAAGGCCCACACTCTTCTGGACTCTTGTTGAATGGCGGGCCTTGGGGATGTATCCTAATTTCTCCCTAAAGGGGACCATTTGGTGATGGACCCCTACTAGCCCCAAAGGTATTTGTTTTCGAGTGGGGAGGGATACCCTAGTATCCAAGGCTCTTGAAGGGTTTGTAGGTTGGATGATCTTGTACTTTGTTTGCTTGTTGAGGGGTAGTTTAGCTTATTTACTTGATTAGGGATTAAGGTTATAGAGGATTAACCAAAGGTAAACATAGGGTTAGGGTTTCTCAACCTAGTTTTTTTCTCTTCCTTTAGAATTCTTAGGATGTAAAACTACACAAATGATTCTCCTGTTATAGTTGGGGTTTTAATGTAGGGCGGATTATTAACTTTTTCAGAGAAAGGTGAGTGGATAATCAGCTGCGTCCTGTCTAAACTCAAAAATGATAAAATTTAGGATCCACAAAATGCAAAATTTCACTCTAGCCCACAACACAAGAGCGTCCCAATCCCATGCTTATGGTATCATGGTCTTATTTCCTCATTTTTGTTGAAATGGATGACTGGTTGCCAAATAATTGCAGATCGGACTTCTATAATTAATTTGCAACAATTTCATCAGAGAACTCCAAGAATCGAGAAAGTTCCAGGTCTATTTATGTTCTTGAATTTAAAATTTTGCCAAACCCATTTTCCATACAATTGTTCTTCATTTTTGGCAGGTTTTTGCTAGTTTCTTGGTGCTTCATGACCGAAGAACGTGCCCCGATCCTACAAATATTTTTTCTGAAGAATCACTTGGAAACACCCCTTATGTGGTGAGTTACGACCTTTTATTGGATCAAAGTTGCAAAATTAGCCATGGCTATGATTTTAGATGTAAATTCGCTTGAAATCGGCCTTCAATTAGTGCCTTCATCAGAGCATTCCATACGCAATCGAAAAGCTCATTGAGCTACAATTCTAACTCACAAATTCCCATTGCCGAATCCTCAACGGCGAGTGTAAAAGATTACCCAAAATTACTGTTTATTTTTGCCCCAATTTTTGGTGTATTAAGAGAATTAACTCTTCTACAGAAGGTGACACACTTGATCTTTTACTAAATGGATCCAATGGATCTCGGATCAGTGTGGAGCTTTGCGGTTAGGGATTTCAGGGCCCCTGATTTTATCTGAGGGTCCTGGACCCATCGGAGACCGATTTTCAAAGGTCATTTATAATTATGGCCTCGCTTCAGTGCTCCACAAACTGTGCATAGTAGTCTATACATAGTTTTGCCTGTATCTTCACTTGGGGTTCCTTTTTGGGATATTTTGGGGCTTGATTTAGGGCTGATTTGCATCCGCTCTCACCATTTTCATCATTGTCCTTTATTATGTACTCCAAAGGTAACCAGCGCAAGAGCACAGGTCCGAGTTCTGAAAGCATCCACTTTGTGCATAAATTAAAGATTAGGACCATTTCCAGCCCACCCCTCCTGAACCTGTTTGTGCTGGACCTGAGACCCATGCTTTTATTTGGCTAGTCATTTGTCTTGCAAAATGAGGCTCCTCGGACTCGGAATGCATGACTGGGGGGACCTTTTTCTATTGACATAGTACCACCCACCCTTTGGTTTCAAATGGGCCATTTGGCGCGGATCAGCCGCCTGTTAAAAAATACGCGCAAACAAGGGGTACCCCATCAAAAATATTTTGATTTCTACAATGATATATATAATATATTCAACTTAAATAAAACTTATATTCATGTTACTTTTTAATACTTGTTTCAAAAGCTATAAATTTTAAACAAATTTATCAAAATACTCCTACTCATAGTGGTGTATTTTGATGCGTATTTCGAAGTCAAATAGAAAAAAGGGTAAAATGTTAAATAATTGATCTCATATGTATTTCAATATTTTTTTTATAAATTATATATAAAGTTTTGTAAAATTCACATTATATTAATAATAATTCCTTTTTATGAACGTTTTTTAATTTTTTTTATTAAATCTAACAATTTACTATAGCTCATAAAAATTCATATAAATCTATAAACTATAACTATACTACATTATTAAACAAGAATTAAGGGATGGCCACAACACAGCAAGAGTTAAAGGATGGACACATGTTGTAAAAGTTAAAAAAGACCCTAATGTTACAGAGAAACTGTAGAACATATACCCCATGTTTAGAGGAAAAGAGACTAAAATTTTGTGTGTAAAGTAGAGATTTTAAAAAGAAAAAGAAAATATAGATTTTAAGAAGAGATATTGTTTCTATATCTTATTGAGAAACATGAGAATTGTTTTTATCCAACTATTTCTTAAAATTTGTACGTGCAAAATAGAAAAAAGAGGATATCTACCGTTTCTTAATATTTTATGCGTACAAAGTATCTATTTTAAGAAAAAAGTCCATCAACAAATTGCTACAGTATTTCACACCTATTACAAACAAGCTATATTCATAACAATTTTGACTAAAAACCACCATAAACCTACAGAAGCCATGCTGGTCCTTATATATTTTTTATGTCAATTTTGCATGCAAAAATCCCATCATGGACATAACATATTTTTTACGTCAATTTTGCATGCAAAAATCCCATGACAGACATCTTTAATCCACACCATTCGAAAAAATCATACGGCACCAAACCAATGGACAAAAATACTGTTCATTTTTTCCCATAGGCATTTTGTAGTCTCTAAGATATATATATATATATATATATATATATATATATATATATATAGTAGAAGTAAGTAAGTAAGTAGTAGACGTAACGTTACTTACCGTTTACGTTAACTTAATAACTTAAGTTATTA